TAATTATTTTTAGTGTCAATTTCTTAAATTAATTAATTACTGATCTTTAAAAAAAATTGTTTAATTTGTTAGAGATACACTATTCAGATTTTAACCAATATAGTGTTGTTAGCATTAGTCCTTAAAATAGTGTATGGAAATGAGAATTTTTTTATTTCCAATTAAATTATTATTCTCATAATGAAATTGTTAGAAATTTTATTTTTAAAAAATATAAAATATATTTATTTATATTATTATTATTATTTATTTACTAATTTCTTACAGTCAATTTAATTAGCATATGATAATTTAATAATTTTGCAACAATTAATTTATTATGGAAAATTAAACTATTAATTATTTATGAAGGTGAGAAAGCTTTTAATAAAAAAATGAAGGTAAGGAAGTTTTATTTTTATTTATTCTTAAATTAATATTCTAAAAACTCATTTACGTTATGAAAATAATTTTATTTTCTTCTATTAAACATGCAAAATTTTTATTTTCACATTGGGTTAGAAACCCCTTTCATATTTCTTCGTTTCATCCTTTTTATCTCATCAAACTTTCCCCCCCTATTTTCTCTGTCTCATCTAACTGCAGAAAAGTGTCGTGGTTGTGAGAATTTCTTTTCTGTATATATATATGGGGGCTTGTCTCTTCTGTAATGCAAACTTCAAACAATAAAGGACCCATCTAATAACTTCGTATAACGATTGAAACTTAACAATGGAATGTTCAACCCCTAACTGCATGCAATATTGCATTGTTATCTATATTTTTGAAACAAACAACTAAATCTTAAGATATTATTCTCGGTACAATACATCAGTTTTCAGCTGCAGCATGCAGTACTAGTACTACGTTGCACGCACATCAGAAAATTTTACAGTGAATAGATGAAAATAACAAAGCAATAAGACAGAATAATATTCTCTTACAATATTTTCTTTGGTATCTGTTCCTAATAGCCAGGATATACCACAATTTGTGTTGTATCTGATGTATGAACACTCCTAAAGCCAAAACTAAGTGGCAATACGAGAAACTGAGAAAGTAGAAACGTACGCCAACAACTTCAATTGTTGTTCCCTCATTCGCCTTTAACAGCTCTAGCTAGCTAGCGTTAGGTGGGAGCCATCTTAAAGCAGTGTCTTTATCACCTTACTGTTCAAGTGCCCATAATTGGAACATCACCAAGGTACCTTATTCCATCCACCATTTCTCTTCAAGTAACACAAAGTTATATATATATTAATCTATATGGTATCTTATTGTGATTAACAAGATAAACACGCAAGTAATTAACAAATAGCTGGTATAAACGATACTGAATTCGATTGTTTTGAATAAAATTTCAATCAAGTTTTATAGATAAAAAAGAAATTTAGTTAAGAGATGAGATTATACTAATAAAAATATTCAAATTCTACGAGGTGATAAATCAGTTATTGTCAAAGTTGATGAATAATATATATAATTATTTTTGTGGCTACTTTAATATATATCTTTTTATTGACATCATCTCCATAAATAAAGTTAAAGTTTGAATCGTATTGTGTAGACAGTAGTGGAGGGAATATCCTAAACCTGCTTTTCCGGGGTTCATTCACCTTTATCCTACTAATTTTCAATTGCATCATCTACTAATGTTGTATATTATTTTAGTGAGGAGGGATATTATTAGATTCCAAACCATATTGGGTTATTATTAAACCTGATATTATTGGATTTCAAATGGCTCTCCTTCACTAACATTTTTTTTATCACTTTTTGTTGTATAGGTATACCAATCATTTGAACTTATGTTTTTCTTTTCCTTTTTAAATTTTAATTAATTTTCATATTTTGAAAGTGTAAATTAAAACTTATTCACTATTTATAAATTAAAAGTTATTTTAAATATATACGAATTTTTAAATAATTATTACGAATATTAATAATTTTTAAATGACAATTTATGATAAGACAACTGTGCCAAAAAAAAAACTTTACATTTTTACTAGATTAATTCTAATTATATAAGTTGTTCACTTGTTTCTTTTTTCATTGAAAAAATTTATAAAAATAATTTTACAAATATAATTTCTCATTAACATAGTCAAGGAAATCCCTTTACAAATTCGTTTACTTTATTTGAATTTCTTTTATTTTCCATAACTTCATTATTTTTTTTTTCACTGTTTTGCCTCCAAAATATATTTCATGTTAATTAGTTCTGTGACGATTTTTTATGCTATTATCTAATATATCATCGAGATGTATGTTAAAATTATTGAGTTATGTGTGTAATAGTTATTTAATAAATTATATACATATATAATTTTTAATCGGTTGGCAGTATATATATGAAAATTAAACTTTATTTCTTTTTTAAATTAAAAAAACAAAAAATAACAATTATATAAAATAATAATTTATTAATCTATTATTTTTTAATTAGAAAAGTAGTGATTAATGGTGCAGAAAATGAGTCGCTATATAGCGATAGTTAATTAATTTCATGAATCTACAATAAATAACATGGAGAGTGTGACTATACAAGTATACAACCCTAGATTCCGCATGTATTAGCTTTATGCACTTTCTCTTTAAATCATATTTTTAATCAATGGAACCATTTCTTTTTCATTGACTTTTTAATTTCCCTTATTTAAATAAGATGAATATATGCTATATATATATATTTTTTTTTTCTTTTTTGGAATTATAACCCTACAATGTATTGAATTTTCTTCTAGAATTTCAACTATAGAAAGAGCATTGATTGGATGATCATCCAAACAATGCAAGCACACACTTGACAATCCTTATCTCTCTGTATATAGATCTCTTTCTTCTTGTCATATAAGATCATCAATTTTACCAATCACGTACTTATCTTTCTTTTAAGCGTCCACACATTTTTGCATTTCAACCAAACAGTTCTTTGCAAACCTTTTAAAAATTTATTTGTGAAATTGATATGTATATCAATCATTTTTAAATTAAATATTTAAATTAAATTTCTGAAAATAATTTTTGTAGAGTTGCATTTTAGAAGTAATTTTAAAATAAAATTATTTTTTTGGATACCTTACATATTATTAAACATCTAGAGAGAAAAAGAAAAAGAAAAGGTTTATATATATATATAGTATAGGATCATTTTTAGAACTTCTTCCTCCCTCATTTTCCCGCCCTATATATACACTTGCCGGATATTTTCCAGCCACCAATGAAATCCCCCTTTGATTCT